AGCGCGCGCGGCCGCGGCCCTCAGGGGCCGCCGCCATTTTGGTGCGGGGCAAAGGCGGAGGGTGGGGTAGGGTTGTGGATGTTATCGCTACTCCTCGGCTCACGGGCTGACGGAATGTGGAGGCTACCGGGCGTCAGCGGTGCCTGCTCCTGGTGCAGCGCGAGAGGAGGGTCCGTGTCCCCGCGGTCCGTTAAGTGTGGGGCCGCTTCATGTCACCTCAGGTGTGCGCGCGCTGGGCAGAGGTGGCTCCGTGCAAGGCCGATGGTGGCCAACAGTGCGAAAATAATAAATATTGGCAGTACTGGCGACTGGCGGTGGGGACATTCCTCCACCTCTAACCATGGGCATTCCTTCCCCTCGAAGCTTTGGCATTCCTCCACATCTAACCATGGCGGGGTTTCCCCTCTCATCTGGCGTTGTGTACTACATACAGCTGGCATGCCCTATGAAAACGAAGATATTCCTGTTTTCCGATGTCACCCTTAATTAATTGAATGCCAGGCTTCCCATCTTAGGTAGGGTTAAGCACATGTGCAGTTTTCCCCCTCTCTCCTGAAATTATCAAAGGCAGCTGACTTTTGAAAGATCCCATTTTAATGCCCAAAGTCATATCTTGAGATGGTTTTGCAAGGAAGTCATCTTCATAATATTTGATACATAGAGAAAAAAACATATTCCTGAGGATTTACACCATTTCAGGAAGCCCACGAGACACCTTTGTTTCTCCTTTTGGTGGTTCATTATAAAAATAGCACTGTCAAGTTGAGGGGGATGTTGCATTTAAAGGTTGTGGAAACTGTTGAGTTTCTACTCAACAATACAAGCACAACTTCTAATGTAAATGAAGTGTTTTTATATATTCACACTTTAAATTTCCTGTCAGACTTGAGAACTCAAAGGCAGCCACAGTGTCTGGGCAAGAGAAAAAAGAAAGGACAGGTACATGTACATATTTCTCATCAGCTTTACTTGCCACAGGCTGTGACCAGGAAAGGAAGATGCCAAAATCCTCAGTAATGGAGAGCAGGAAGGAGTCCCACTTTCATCTGGAGCAGGTGTGTTTTCCCAATTATATTTTTGTTTAAATAACCAGTACATGAAGTGATTGAGTTTCTTACAGCGGCAGGACAGGTGATACTTGATACACCACATAGCAGGAGTGATGGAGAGGTGATACCTAATATAGAATAAAACTTGCTTGCAGAATGTTCACCTTTTATGTTTTTAAAAATAAATTTGGGTTGGGAGAGTGACTTTAAATCAGACCAGTCCTTTGCATTATTGCTGAAATTACAGTTAGATTTACTGCAGGGTCAAACCATGACCTAACAGCTCTGGTTTGACTGTTAAAATGTGAATAAAATGAAAAAAAAAAAAAAAAACAAACCCAAAACTAAGAAGAGTAAATTCAATGTCACAAAGCAATTTTGTGGTTTTAATGCACCAAAATATTTGTCATTGGGAAAAGTTGTCTTGCTCTTGACCCACAACAAATGGATTTTTTTTTTCTTTACCTGGGCAGTGCTCCAACCCCTACAAGTTGCAGTGGCTGGAGAAACTGTATCCCCCAAACAGAGACCCTGTGGCTGAGTGTGTGGGCACACCTTTATATTTGACAGGCACCTCTGAAGCTGGCAAAAAATCCATTCCATTGTTGAACGTGGATAATTCAGGCAGCAGGTGATGGGCACACAATTGATTCAGTTTATCATGAAAAGCCTTGTGCCCACGATTGATAAGGCAGCCACCAGTGTGAGTATTGGCAATTAGCACAGCAGCAGGACATTCCTCAGTGTCACCTCAAAGGAAATCGGAGGTGAGGGGACTGCCAGAGGCTGATCATGCATGAAAGTGAATCCTTCCTTTCCTCCCCACCTTTTCTGGATACCAGGGAAGATCAGAGCAGGATAAAAGTGGCTTTGTTTAGACACCAGTAACCTAAGCAGCAAAATATTAGGGATTATGGAGAAAATGGGAGGTGGAGCATATTCTGTTTAGATGGAGGGATAAGATGATGGTTTATGCTCCTGGAACAGCCTCCTGATATCTGACAGGTCATTTTGTTTGTCTCTTTCCCCCTCAACAAAATGCATTTACTTGATTAACCTTACCAAAAGTCTTGAAAACCATCAAATGGCAAAGCAACAGAGGAACAGAACATTCTTCTTCACGTCTGTGGGTGAGCTCTGACTCTTGAGGCAGACATTTGCCAGTTTGCTGGGAGATGAACACCCGTGAGGAGCAGAGATGGCAGCTGGATCCTGCTGCTTCACACCTTCCTGAGCGCTAAAAACCCGGAGCTGAGCTCCAGGGCACACAGCCGAGGAAAAGTCTCTCCCTCAGTGTGATTTGGTGGATTTATTTGCAAGTGCCCTCACAGAGTCGATCAAGTACAGAAAAAAGCTCTGATTTTTCAAAATCACTTAATGGATTTCAGTATCCACTTGACATTAATAACAATTAATGACCTGTGCACACACATCTCCTTAACAGCTTTGATAAAATTAGGATCGGTGTAGCAGCATTTTTCAAAAAGCTTGGAGGGGAAAATATATCTGCATAGAAAACTTTGCAGTATAGGGAAAAATCCAAAATCTACAGCAAAAACATGGTGTAATTCCTACTTAAGTGTTTTCAATTTGCTACTGTATGTATAGCAAAAGAGAATTGCAACACTTTTCCATGGTAAGTTCAATGTAGTTTCCTTCAATGAGGGTAAATAAATTTGCTTTAAATTCCCCAGGGTTTTAAAAACAACTTGTTAGGTATGCAGTGATAGATGAAAAAAATAAAAGTTGTTTTTTCTTTTTCTAAAAATATATTAAAATATCTTATTCACAATATAGCTAAGTAATAATCCAAATGCAGTGAGGTGGGGAAATCTGAATCTCTTGGGAGCTTCTAAACCTGAGCAAAAAAATTTAAAATAAAAGACCCACCAAACTCAGACCCTTGTACACTCAAAGTAGAGACAGAGCCAGGAGCTGAGTGGGCAGCTGAAGCCAGCTGGGTGGTGTAAATGCAGGAATTCTGATTTTCTGCAGCTACCTGGCCTTAAAGCTGGGCTGCTGTTTACTTTTTAAATTGACTTTGTCTTCCTGTAGCTTCTGACAGAAAGTTACATACAAAGTCTGTGATAAATGCAGAATGTGTGAACTTCTGCTGAATACACTTAATCCCAAAGGATTTCTCTGGTGTTTACTGTCAGTACATAGGTAGGTGCTATAAATTCAGTTGCACCTGAGAAATTCAGGCTGCAGAAGATGAAGTAGTTGAGGCAAAGTGTGACCATTTATACAGTCCCAACATGGAGGTGCTTGTTCATGTCCCCAGAGTGCTCTGTCACTGCACCTGAGCCCTGCTCAGGCCAGAACTAACCAAAGTGGGAAAAAGTGAGGTTTTATTTTTCCTCCTAGTTGACAAAATTGTCCTAGGCCCTCCAAGAATCATGTGCAATTGAATGATGATTTTGTCCTTTCTTCATAGAAAACTCACCTCCGCAGGTATTAATTCAAGAAAACTTGTCTCCTGATGAAGGAACTTCATCTCTATTCTGAAAAAGCCAACTCTGCCAGGTTTAAGCACAGAAGTGGGTGAATTTTATTAAAACCCCGAGGCAAGAAAGCTCATCTAAAATAGTCAAATGGAAATTAAAAGCTCCATAGGTAGGACAGAATAATATCCTAGACTGGAAAAGTTACCTCATCTTGATGAACTCCTTACCATGCTTACCAGATTAATTTTATTTTGGTTAGCATTAACTTTATTTAATTTTAAAGTAATTTGTTTCTAGGATTATAACATTACTCAAAAAACATATTTTAGTACTGTGAGAAAAACACTGTTTGAGTCTTTTCTCATGCCAAAAGTTAAAAAATCAAATTTATATCAAGTCTTAATCTCAGCCTTTCTCCCAAAGGCAGCCATGCCCAAACGATTTGCTCTGCATTCACGCTGGTGCAGCTGAGTAATGTGTGTCCTGGCACAGCCTGATCCATTCCCTCCTCTGTCACCTAAACCAAGCAGAAAACCCAATCAAAGCCCCTGAAATGTGGAAATTTCCTTCCAGTGCCGGCACTCGGCGTTCAGAGGAGTCTGTCTGTCCGTGCTGGCGGCAGACACTCACTCAGGATCGGGTACATGAGCAGCACTTCCCTCCTGTAGATGTCTGGGGGGAACTTGGCGTAGTACACCTTGGCTCGCTGGGTCTCCTCGTCGCTCTGGATCAGGATTTTCCCGATGCGGATGGATCTGCAGCAATCCCGCAGGCCCTGCTCCATCGCCTCCCCTGCAAGGGGCAGCACAAACACAGCAGCAGATGCTGACACTGACAAAGGGCTCAGGGCTGCAGGGAAAGGGACAGTCCCCAAATGGACAGTCCCAAAAGGGACAGTCCCCAAAGGGACAGTCCCACCCCTGTGCTGGTGAACAGCTCTAAGCGTTCGAACACTTGAAGCTCTTTCCCTTTATCCCCATTTACAGCAAACCGAGTCTCGCTGGTGTTGCTGAGCCCCTGGGTTTGGTGTTCCCACCTCTCCCAGGAGCGAGCTGGAAAGGCAGAAGGCGCGGGTGGGGTTTGGGGACATCCCGGTGACAGAGGGTGGGGCAGAGTGTGGGGCTGCTGGCTGTGACAGCTCAGATCCAAAGGTTTGCCCAGCCCTGGGCAATACCAGGAACTCTGCCCCCATGGAGCGTGGCTGGGGTGGGGCCCTGGCTCTGGGCACAAGTGGGAAACAGGGGAGGGCTCCTGGCCCCTCACAGGGAGCAGCTGCCAGGGAAGAGGCCACAGGAGATCTGTTCCAGCCATTTGTCTCTTAAAGGTTAATGGGAGATATTCCTGGACATCCTGTTATCAAGGATACCTGAGAAAAAAGAACAACTTAAAATAAATACTAAACCGATAAATAATTTCAAGGAGATGTTGTAACATTATGAAAAGTAGGCTTTGCCCTGTTAACCAGATATTTTCCTTAATGTCATAGTTTACAGTAGTAGAGCTGTTAGAAGAAGCCTTCAGCCAGTAAGAGACCAGATCTTGTCTTTCACTGTACTTTGACTGAGAAAGAGGAACGTTGTGTCAATATGACAAATATTAATTGGACTGAAAACTGATAGGTCTCAGTGTAAGCAGCACACAGAACACGGCAGAGTTTCTTTGCTGCCGGATCTTGACCCCACATCACTTAATGTGTGATCACTGACCTGCAAGAAAATGCCAAATCATTATTGGTGATCTGCAGCTGCACAGAAGTTGGGGCAGGTCGCCAATACCAAACCTAATCTGGATCACTTAATGAGCTGAATTTAAATAAACAACATGTTTTTCGTGCCACCAGATGTAAAGTCGTTAGCCTAAGAATAGAGCAGCAGCTGGACTAAGGGGTGGGTGACAAAGTCATGGAAAGCAGTGACTCAGAAGAGGAATAATCAGCTGAAGATGAGTTCTTAATGAGATGCTCTGCCAGGAGGAGCTACTGCTTCTAAGGAGTCACAAAGCGAGGCACCAAGAAAGACAAGAGAGCTTTTGTTACCTCTGTGTGGGCTCCAGGAAGTATTCCTTGGGGGCTGGAAAACACACCTCCGTGAGAAAGCACCCAAGGAACACAGTTTATTAAGAAATAAAAGGTGAAGGGACATTTTAAATGCAGTCTCTGGAAGGCATGTGACAGATTTAATCCTGAAGAGTGGTGAGGCCCTGGCACAGCCTGAGAAGCTGTGTCTGCTCCATCACTGGAATTGTTCAGGTCCGGATTGGATGGGGCTTGAAGCAACCTGGAATGGTGGAAGGTGTCTCTGCCCTGTGGAATGGAATGATCTTTAAGGTCCCTTCCAACCCAAACCATTCTGTAATTCCATGATTTATCTGTCAGAGGGGTGTTTGATAGCTGGACATCAATACAGGTCACTGTGTATTTTTAGGACTGGGCAAAACTGTCCACTGTAACAATCCACACACAGTTTGCCGACTGTGGCAGAGTGCCTGCCACTGAAGAATCACTGGAAATACTTAATGAGATCATTTTTTTTCCAGAGGAAACACTCTGGTTTGAACAAGCCTTAATTCAGGGGAATCCAGCAGCCTTCATTAGGCAGGAATTTGGAGCAGGTTATGAGAACAGCTCCTGCTAGATTTGTTCTGGATAAATACAGAAACCCTGTGGCTGCAGGCAGGGGTGAAGGGAGGGGTGAACCAGGCAGCACAACCCGCACACAGCTTTGGCTCCCAGGGAGGTGAAAAGGCTATTTTTACCTAACCTATCCTATATTCAACATTTTTTTTTGCATTATTAACATTATCAGTGTGAATCCTGGCTGCCCTCAGCAGCACCAACCACAGGGCAATCAGCGTTTGCAAACAGCCACCAAAACATCCCTCAGACAATTCATTGCTAAGGCTTTTGCTTTAACTCTGGCCTGTAAGAGCACCATCAGCCACTGGGAAACTTAAACCCATTACAGAGTGAGAATACAATCAAGCAGCATCAGCTTTATTGCAGTCCCTTGGCATTTGGAAAGTGTCAGGTGCCCACTGGGTCTTGTTGTTTATGGGAAGAAAAGACTCTGGGCAGGTTTTATTGCTTCATTCATTTGTGTGGAGAAACCAGAATGGAGTTAAAAGCCTTAAGTGAAAAATTCAGGAAAGAAAAAGTGGGAAGCAGAATGGGGTTGGAGGAAGAGAGAGATTTCCAAGATTTTTTTTCTTAATCAGTGTTGATGGTCACCTTCTAACTTATATCTAGAACAGAGTTCTGATGGTCACTTACCAATCCTCATCTTGGGGCGTGACTTCTGACATCTGTTGTGCAGTCTGAGAGTGTGTCAGTGACTGGTGCCTGCTTAATCCCAGGGATAGCAGGGGGGACCAGGAGTGCCTTCTGCCTCTTCTGTTTGGCAGCTGTTTCAACGGCAAATGCTAATTCCTCTCTCAATGTTTTGCTCTTTCTGGGAATTTAAAAATAACTTGCCTAATGAAGCAGTGCTGAGCAGCTCATATGTCCAGACAGATAGGAGTGAAATGCTTCAGTTCAGAAAGCAAAGTTGTCTGTGGTGGCAGTGCCTTTGAACAAGTCCCCCAAGGCCCTTTTTCAAATAATCCCAGGACTGGCTGAAATTAATGCTGGAAGAAATTCAGAGAAAGGGGGGAGAATCATGTCAAAGAGCCTGGGACTTGGGAAGACATTTCTGGGTGAGCTGTAATCAGGCCCATCCTATGACATCCCTTTAGCAGTGCCATTTAATTACTCCTTTACAGACAGGGTTTGATGTATGTGTGCTGTAGCAGGGACATCCAGAACATGAAAAAAAAAACGTGGCATTTACTGAAGGCTTTTCAAAGATCAGTGGAGCTCCTTGTCCCTTGTTAGAGCAACGAGAAGCTGAGCAGAGTGACAAAACTGCCTGTCCAAGGGCAGCCACCAAAGCACGAGCAGAGACAATTGCAGGCTATGGCAATTTTCAGCTTCTCCCTCAAAAACACCTTATTTTGTTACACATCTTTGATTTTCTGTCTCCTGGACCTGGAGATCACCATCCTCATTTAAGTTTACCCTGCAGTGAGCTCATCTGCTTCAACGGGACAGGACACACGAGAACCATGAAGGGTGAACATCCAACAGGAGCTGGAGGAATGTTTACCAAAGGAGCTGGGCATGATATGCTGGGAGGCAAAATTGCTGTGGAAAAGCAGGCATGGGGGGCAAGGAGATACCTGGCTTCTTCCTTTGGGCCAAGACTGGAGTCAGAAAGTCTCTCCCTGCCCACTTGGAGCAGCCTTGAGCTCTTGCATTGATTTGCTACATTATTGATTTCTTGTTCTAAAATTAAATCATTTGCAGTGCCATAATACTTATCAGAGTATAAATGATAGTCTTTCTAATAGTTAAGTGATAAAGCCCCATTTTTTTCCCCAGCTAGATGAATGATCATTACATTCTTCAAATCCACTCTTATTTTTCTTTAATTGCTTCTGATGCCTTTGGTAGTGTTGAGTGACAGGGTCTGCTCTCCATCCTTGGAGACTGCTGGGGGAACTCAGCAATGTCCTCATCTCCACAAGAGGAGATAATTGATCCTAAAAAAACCTGGTGGTTTTATTTGGGGCAGAAGGAATGAGGAAAGTATTCATCAGAAGAGTTTTCATGCAGAGGTTCACGGTACAACCCTATGTTAACCCTACAAAGACCATAAGATCTGTATCATATTCATCATGTCCATATGTTTTCATTGAATTGTTCTTAGAGTGCAATTCATCATTCCCTCGAGTCCTGCATCAAATATGCCATGCTGCAAAAGGATGAAATGAAGCCAAACCACAGGGATCATGTGTTACTTTGCTCTGTGCTCATGCCAGGGAAATAAAAGACTTCCATCACTGGGATTCAACTGCTAAAACCCAGGAGCTTCTGTCCCTCTGTACAGAATAATGAATTTCAGCATCATCCTTCATCTTTCATCCTTCAACCAAGAACATGGCCTGTGTGATGTCCAGGGCAGTCCAGGAAATGGCACATTTCCTTTTTTGTGCTGGAATCATGACCTGATTCATAACTGTAGCCTTAAAATTAAACTGGTGATTGCTCCCAGCTTGGCCACCCAGCCACTGTTTTCCTTACCCAGGACGAGTCCCCACCTCAGCATGTTCCCTGTAGGATTGCAGCCTTCACTCACTTGGCAATAATTGAGAGATCTGCACCTTGCTGTTCTCAAATCCCAACCTTAATGTCAAACAACCTTGGCCAGAGCTGTGCAGTGACTGTCTCACTCACACCAGGAGCTCCATGGAGCTCTTGGATTCAGTGACTTTTCAGCTCTTGGTTTCCATCACCTTGGTGTCATAACCCCAGTAGAGACTGGAAGCATCGCAGAGGGGTCCTGCCAGGCACCCACCTTGGAACAGAGCCAGGGCAGAGCAGGTGCCTCTGGATCCAAGCCCAGGATCCAGACCATGTCTTCAAGGGACTTGGGGTGACGCTAAATCCCTCTGGGCACAGGGACAACTCCAGGCACTGCTGGACAGGTTCCCCTCACTGAACACCACACCAGGGGCTCATTTCAGCATGAAAGATCCTAAATAGTCTCCACAGCCAATGCCAGCACTTTGCAGCGTTATCAGATGGGAGATGAAGGAGGGATACATTCCTTAAAAATAATCCTCCTGGTGGTAAATAATGTGATTAAGCAGGCTGCCTAATTCTGCCCCTCAGTATTAAACTGCCCTGTTTATCCCCTGTCCCTGCCCTGGCCTGTGTCCCCTTCTCTGCAGCAGGGTCTGGTGTCACATAGCCCTGTTTTAGCAGCTGCCTGCTGTCAAAATGTGCCCTTATCTCTCAGACTGCAGTTTATGCTCAGTCTCTTTATTTCTCTTCATGTAATCATCAGACATTTCTGCGTTTTGTCGTGATAAATACCAGACTGTTGAATCTCTGGGGCTGCCAAGAATTGCATCTCAACATAGCACAAATAGAGCTGCTATTTTTTTCTTTCATTCCTTCCTTTAGTTTAACATTTACTCCTGCTATTGTTGTCCTTAGAAGGATAAAGAGGGCTGCATCTCACTAGCCAGTTGCTCCAAATACATTAGATTAAAGATTAAATAACAGGATAACCGAAGGCTATGAAGACTATATTAATATATTATATTGAGATAGTCAAGCAAAGATGTGATAATGTGCTATTCATTATACAGGTACGCCAGTGCTCACTACAGGATAAAATTAGATTGACTCATCTGCAGGTCATGTACCTTCTACAGCTCAGAACTGGCAGAGCTTTGCTTCTGTCTGTGCTGAGACAGGAGCACGTCAGTCCCAGCCCTGCCTGGGTGTCTGTGCTCACACCACACTGCACAGTACAAGCCATGAAGGATCCTGGTCACCACAGCCTCAGCATCACAGCT